AGTTATATGTCAATTCTACCCTTATATATTTAATATAGTACCATTTAATATAATTTAATTTCATTTAATATCTATTTAAGTGTAATGCTATTAATTACATTAAAAAATATTTTTAAATTTCTATAAATGCTTATTTAAGCCCATCATTTGAGTTCCTTAAACAATACTCATTTTTCAATTTCACGTTTAATAATTGAATTAATGCCTGTATATTTTTAGTTATATGTCATTTTTACCCTTATATATTTAATATAGTACCATTTAATATAATTTAACTTCATTTAATATCCATTAAGTGTAATACTTTGTTTTATATTGGAGTACTTAAAATTTTACATTAATCAAATTAAGTTTGATTACTTAACTTACATTGTTTAAATTAAGTTTTCCACTTAAAATCTAAGCACACATAAATGAAAATCTTATTTAAGCCCATCATTTGAGTTCCTTAAACAATACTCATTTTTCAATTTCACGTTTAATAATTGAATTAATGCCTGTATATTTTTAGTTATATGTCATTTTTACCCTTATATATTTAATATAGTACCATTTAATATAATTTAACTTCATTTAATATCCATTAAGTGTAATACTTTGTTTTATATTGGAGTACTTAAAATTTTACATTAATCAAATTAAGTTTGATTACTTAACTTACATTGTTTAAATTAAGTTTTCCACTTAAAATCTAAGCACACATAAATGAAAATCTCATATATTACACTTATATATTTAATATAGTACAATTTAATATAATTTAACATCATTTAATATTCATTAAGTGTAATTCTTTGTTTTATATTGGAGTACTTAAAATTTTACATTAATCAAATTCAGTTTAATTACTTAACTTACATTGTTTAAATTAAGTTTTCCACTTAAAATCTAAGCACACATATTGTAGATGTAATTTTATTATAATTATATAATAAAATATATTATAGGTTGCATTAATATAATGATAGATTAATTATCATGTAAAATAATATTTATTATATTTTTAATATGATTATATATTTAGACGAGTTTTGATTTTAAGTGATTAAACTTAATTTAGTTAACCCAAAATTATGAGTACTCCAATATAAATAATAAACTCTATCATTAATCTATCTATTTTGAATGTAATTTTGGTTTTTAATTTAAAATAAATGCTATGGATTAATATGACGAGCACGATTAGTATGTAATTTTTTATTTCTAAATATGTTTCGATAATATACTTTTTTGTCTTTATTTTTAGGTAAAAAATTTTACGATACAGACAAAATGAGTAATTTTTTTAATTTGAAAATTATTTACGTGCCTTTAGTTTACTTATACGAAAACATTCTAAACTTAATCAAATGTACATATTTTGATTTGATTTTTTTCGTGTCTGTCTGTACCAAAAAATTGGTTGATGTCATCATGATAGTTAATTTATTCAACATTTTCACTTTATCTACTTGATTTTCATAAAACTTTTATTTATATGTATATTCTTTAACAATTTTAATTTTTTCCTTTAACATTAATAATTACCTTAATTAAAAACATTACGCATATAATTCATTTCGCATATAAAACATGCAACACAGGAGTTTACTGCTAGTAATGTTTAAATGAACGAATTTAATAAGAATAATATTAAAATTTGACGTAGATAAAAATAGTAATTTTTTAATATTTTAATAGAGATATAAATAGAGTGAGATGTATATATAAAAATTCTGAATGTATTTAGTGGCGAGTTTTGCTACATGTACTCGGAGTTTGACACTCCGTGTTACATGCTATTCACATGGGGTCGAGGACCCCATGCCAATAAATGTGTGAGGTCCGACCCCCTCACTCACATTAGATAACTCGAAGTGTTAAACTTCGGGTACAAATAACAAAACTCATTGGCACCCAATAATTCTACGATACTCTTCTCCCTAAATCGAAGGAAAAAATAAAAATAAAAAAAAGAAAGAAAGAAAGAGGAAATACGAGGTATCTGGGCCCCTTAGATACAAATAGATAGATACACAACCATACGTAGAGATAGAAAGTTATGGCGCAGACATATAAATAGTAGAGAGAGAAAGCCGGTAGGTGTTTCTTTCAACTTTTTCCCATTTTCATTCATTATTGTAACGGACAGAAAAGAGTAGACATGGATGGTGGAGCTCAGCCGGTAGACACCGCGATGTCAGAGGCGGCGCCACCTCTGTATCCGGGCCAGCAACCTACCGAGCACATACCCGCGACACTGAGCCACGGTGGGCGATTTATCCAGTATAACATCTTTGGCAACGTTTTCGAGGTCACTTCCAAATACAAACCCCCAATCATCCCCATAGGAAAAGGAGCATACGGCATCGTATGGTAATAAAATTCCAATTCTGGAGTCCCCTTTTCATTATTTTTTTAATAATTTTGATTAATTTTTGTTCTTTGTTTGATTTCCCTTTTTAGCTCGGCTTTGAATTCAGAGACGAATGAGTATGTGGCGATTAAGAAGATAGCTAATGCTTTTGATAACAAAATCGACGCGAAGAGGACCCTGCGCGAGATCAAGCTACTTCGCCACATGGATCATGAAAACGTTAGTGAGTCGCTATATGTAACTATGTGTGTGTATATTTTTTTAAGAATTATTTTCTTGGAAAAACATTTTATTTTACTAGGTAAGACATTTTGTTGTAAAGATGCTCTTAGGTAAAAAGCAAGATCTGGTTTTTATTTTTCTTTGCAGCATCTGTTGGGTTATTGGTTATGCCTATAAATTGATAGAAAAAAATCTGGAACTTTTTCTTTTTGGAAATTAAGGTTCAGAATTCATGTGTACGATTATTTGTATGTTTCTGTTCTTTTCTTTTCTGGTTTTGTTTGACGAATTTTGTTTGTTTCTAGTTTCAATGTGTTACCATGTTGGCATTTGTCACTACTTGAGTAAATGGTTGTTTTTAAGCAGGTGGTCGTATCCAGTGATCTCGATTTTGGAATTTGATGATAGCGAATACTTTTGATTATAGCATTGATACAAAAAGAAATCTTTATGTGCATATCACAATTTATATATTTGTGGACGTGAGTAAACCTGTATTTTCTTCTAGGAAAACCTCCTCCTACCTCCCTTATCACTAAGGCTACGATAATTGTTTGAACTGTCAATTGTATATCATAATAAGGAGGTTGGGGTGGGTTTAGTAAGAAAATAAATAGTAAATGAAATGACTATGAATGAAAAATCAAATAACTATCCACCTTAATGCCCTGTACTTGGTAATTTTCTCTATAATTTTATACAAATTCGTTGTACCGACTAATTCATTGTGCCAAACGAATCCTAAGTGATTAGATGTATTAGTAATAAAATTTTCACTTGATGAAAAGTTAAAAGAATTACTTTTTCTTTGTTTTTTTTTTTTTTTTTTTTTTT